CTCTCTTCCTTTCAGGGAATGACCGTTAGATTATCTGTCTGAATTGCACTTGGTAGCCTACTTTCACATGAGGAATTTGTGAGGAATTTGAATATATCCGTTAGACAAAGATGAGACAAAGCTAATTTAACTGTTGGCGTGACCTAGATAGGCTATTTGATAAGCCACACAAAGATGTTGACAACATGATGTTAAATCATAAATGAAAGTGAACGCGGGTCACAGAAACACCCCATTTAAAATATGCATTCGAAAATAATTGTGACAAGTTAATATGCCTATGCCTAAACTATCTAACAGAGTATACACAGAAAAATGTTAACATAGCCTAAATGTGTTTATATCACTGATTTTACAGACCAAAATATTATCACAATAAATAAAGGTAAATCAGTCAGAAATAGATTCTTAAACTTTTGCAGGTTACAATTTGTGTACAATATTCTGAGTTAGAAAGTTGATATAGACGATAAATCATAGTTAATATACGAAAAAAATAATTATAAAGCATTTGTATGATTAAATGCTTTTCAAATATTTGAATTTGAAATCCGATAGACTATAGTAAAAGCAACATATATCTGAAAAAAAACAAAAACAACAACAACATATATCTGAGCTTTTTAACGATGTAAAACAACAAATGTGACAAAAGTAACAGGATTATGATATGTGTTTTGGACTATTTGTAAACACTGCTCGACAATACACGATCAGTCAGCCAAAGATAAGCTGTCCTGTGAGACCTGTCCCGCACAGCCCCTGAGGGATTATCCATTAATAAGCCTGGCTCGTGCTTCTCGGTATAAAATAGATGAGGATGGCACGCGTCAGGCACGCGACTGACGCCACATGGGAGATGTCAGCATAAATCACGCGCCAGCTCCAGCAATTTCTGTTGCGCATATGGAGTCACTGGGTGTTGCGTGTCGGTTACATAAAAAGAAGGCTAGAACGTTAAAAGTACGTAAAAGTTCTTTCTATTCCCCCCCCCCCTTAATTTCCTAAAAGCAAAATCTAAGTATAATATCGGAAGTTAACTAGCTTCAGGTCACTCGTACATCCACTGGGGCAAATTAGATTGTCTCCCGTTTTCAGAGTTTAAAACAAGGAACACCAAGTAAACGTTATAAATACGTTTTTGTAGGGCATATAAATAGAAACGTTTGCCATTTGCTAATTTAGCTGTCATAGCACAGAAAAAGAAAGAAAGAAAGAAAGAAAGAAAGAACAGGGCCAACCTGGGACAACAAGCCCTCCAAGGTAAACATGTCCCAGAATGAATAATGCATTTTTACAGAATGTATAAATTACGTTTTATATAATTCGTATTAATGTATTTATTACATTTACATTTAGGCATTTACCCGACGCTTTTATCCAAAGCTTACAAATGAGGACAACAGAAGCGATCAAAACAACAAAAGAGCAACAATATGCAAGTGCTATGACAAGTCTCGGTTAGAAAGGATGAAGTGTTTGTTTTTTTTAAAAAACAAACAAAAAGAAAACGAGTAGATAGGATAGAAATAGAATAGAGAGTGCTAGTGTTAGAGGGTCAAGTATAGATGGCTAAAGACTCAGCTGCTCGGAAGAAAAGGTTCTTTCGATTTTTAAAATGTTCTTCAAAATGGTTCATTCAAGAACTGTTCACGGAAAGCTGGTTCTTCTATGGCATCACTGCAAAAACACCTTTTTGGAGCCTTTATTTTGAAGAGTGCACATATAAAGTAGGGTACAGTGGGTGCTCTGTGGAAAATGTATTTTGGATGATATAGCTAGGCTATATCCTACTTTTATGTAAACTTGGAGTAAAAATGGTCACCTAATGTGAATACTTTTGATATATTAGCAAGAAAATAAATAAATAAATAAATAAATAAAGGAAAGAAAGGAAGAAAGAAACGACACTAATTTGAGCAAAGGGTGTACGATTTCTGGTTACTTTCAGTGAATATTGTCTTTTTATGACATATACAGTACTCTTGTAACCACACTGTATATTTTGGAGCTATGCAATATTAGTACATGCATATTTAATGAAAACAAACGGTCCCACTTTATAGGCGGCCTTAAATACTATGTACTTACATCCCAAAATAAGTACAATGTACCAATGTAATTGTGGTTATATTGTATTGCAAAACACTTTTGCTGCTATTGAGGTGGGAGACGGGTGGTTAGGGACAGGTTTGGTGGTATGTGTAGGTTAAGGTGTACGGGATGGGTCAACAGTATAATTATAAATGCAAGTACAAAAATCAATTACAGATGCAATTACATGCAGGTATTTAAAAATATATATATAAGTACAATGTAAAAATATCTATATACACAATAAGTGCATCTTATCAAATGATTAATTTAAATGTAAGTACACAGTATAGTTAAGGCCACCTAATATAAAGTGGGAGCAAACATACAAATCTACAAAAATAATTAACTTAATCACAAGTTAAAAATCACAGTACAAGTGTTTGTCTAAAAAAAAAAAAATTCAATTATTCCCATGAACATAGTATAAATTTGCAACATACTATTATATGCAACATTATTATTTATATTATTATTATTTTCATAATTTCATGCAATTAGACATGTATCAAGATATTTTTCTGTGCGTAGTCTAAATCAGGCATTTACATGAGTGCTGTGGTGGTGTTTAATGTTATTTAGTGATTAGCTGTGTGCCTCCCTATAGCTCTGGGCCTGTTGCACTCAGTCCCGCCTTTACCCTCATTAACAACGACCCTGCTGTCATGCTTAATTTGGCTTTTAAAATCATTGAGCTTACCTGACAAAACATAAATAAACCAGTCTATTGGAAACATTGAAAGACGCCCATCAATGTATGCTCAGCTCCACCAGCACCATAAGAAGAAATCTCATCTCATTAGTAGCAGATCCTTATAACACTCATTTAACCTTCAGTCAGAGAATGTACTCAACAGCGTTTCCGAGGTCTTATTAAGAGTGTGACTTCAGTTTAGCCGCTTGACCCGTGCCGTGGATAATACCGTCCTGCTGGAGTCAAGAGTGTGATTCATGCAGCGAGTATAATTATGGAATGAAGCCAGTGTGTGTGTTTAGTGCTAAGAGCCGACAGTTCTATCATGCAAAACAATGAGAGGAAAAGATTTCAGTGGAATGAGATAGAAGTGCCACAGTGTCTTTATCCAATTGCTGTTTTCAGGAAAGTGTGGTCTCATATGCCTTCCGTAAGCATCACAAGCTAAAAAGCAGTTTTGAGTTTTCACAACTGAGTTTGAATCATGTTTACGGAGATTATACATCTTCCAGGCACTTAACCTGACTCAACTTCAAACCTCATTATAATTTCTTAGTGTACTTTAAGTAACTGAAATGACTCATGACTGTGTTTCTTAACATACATTAACATACAGTGCACTTTGTTAAAATGTCATATTTTGATGTGTTGACTAACATACTAAAGCAAATGTAAAATATTTGATTACAGTTTTAACTGTATTGTATTATTCAATATTACATTTTAGGGTATTCTATTTTAAATGAACTGAATAGCAACTTTGTCTTTACAAATGTGTAATCACAAACATATTTAAATAAATGAGATACAAGTTTCAATAGAATACCATTAAAAGGTATTTTAGTCACCATACATGCTTGTCAGTACATTTGGCAGCACGCATTAACCATATTTCAAAGACAGCAGTAGTGATTATGAAATTACATATAAAAATGAACTACTCAAGTGGGTCAAAAAAGGACTCAACTTCAACTAATTGCATTTCAAATTAACATAATCTAAAACCTAAACTACAATAAACTATTTTAAGTTCATTGCAAATAGCATGTAATTAAATGTCCAAAACATGCAGTTTGCACTTAATAATTCTGCAATGTATATTATTTCTGTAATAAATATTAAAAAGTATTTTTGTTAAAGTATGCTAAAGTGTATCTCTTTTTCACAACGGTGACCTTGTCTCTTTTCCTTAAAAAGTAAGTAGAATAACAAGACGTACTTGCTTGTCTTTGAAAAATGAAAACACAGATTAAATTCATGACGATACATATAACTGTTGTTTTGCATTCTTGTATGTGATAACATGTGTTTTGTATAGTCGGGATTACCATGAACTACAAATTAAGGACATTTTAAGTTTAAAAACCTTTTTAAAAACTAAAAAAAAAAAAACTAGAAATCTCAGGGGAAGATTACTGTATTGTATTGTAAGGTTAAATAAAATTGTCACTACATTCAAATTTTCACTAAATTATTTCACTAAGTCTCTGCGTAGTTATTCAGGGTGTAAACCGTAAAATAAGACCAGCCTGCTTGTGTTAGTACGTTTATTTGGAGACAGTCATGAGAGTCATGTTGTGTTGATAGCTAGTTCATACTGTATATCATTCTCAGTAGGTGAAACATATTTTCTGTTTGAAATATAGTGGATTTGTCATAAATCTTTAATTAGTTGAAGCAGGATCTGAAGCCTGAAGTAAGGTTTCAAAAAGCACTTAATCCTTTATCTTTTAGTAGTCCTGATTCGAATGTATGAACCTTTGTCTTTTGGTATTATAATGAAATATTATATATATTCTGCATATTTGCTAGAATTTTGTTTTGATCATTTTTTTTTATTTGATTAAAATGAAATTAAATATACGTGTAAAAGTAACATTAATATTGTTCTAGGTCTAGTGGTACACCTCACCTCATCATTTCAAAAAAGTGTTTGTCGTAATGAACAAGTAACTAGAGCTCCTGCTGTTGTCCTTTTTTCCTTCTGTGCACATGCAGTAGTGGAAGTTATCTCTGCTATCAGTGGGGAGCGCGACGTCTACAGCAGGGCTTCACGTTACATTATTGTGTTTCATACCTGCACTGCAAGTTGAATGACTACAAAAAACATTGGCCAGTTAAATAGGATCCAGCAGAGACTCGGCGGCATATGTACTGAAAATGATTCAAATTTTGTCTCATACTGTATAAATAAATCTGTTAAAATGCACCCATGTTCCCTGTCAGTGCTTTATAGCATGTAGCATGCACATTGTTGCCCTTGAAAAATGTAGAAATGTACCGATATTTCTGTATTCCAGCCGCTTGCGAGTTATTGTATGATATAGTTTAAATATGTGTTATTTATTATGTTCTGTGTTGTTTACAGGATAAAGACAGTTCAGGGGCCACTGTCCTGCACCTGGCTTCTCGCTTCAATCATCATGAGATCATTGATTGGCTGCTGAAAAGTGGGGAAGGGGATCCTACTGTTGCCACGGATACGGGGGCGTTGCCTGTTCATTATGCTGCAGCTAAAGGGGACTTACCATCGCTCAGGCTGCTATTGGAACACAGCCCACAGTAAGATCATACAGTGCAGACAGTTTGTTTAACCAAAGTATCGGGAACTTGTTTTACATTTTTTCAACTTTTTTAATCATTCAAATACTTTCCTAACCATGTCACAACCATACAGGACTCGTGAATGTTAAGATCTTTATATTAGTGTTCTTAAACGATCCTTAGGTGTAAGTTTTGGATGTGGAATAACAGCGTTTTTCTAGGTGTATCCTAATTTGCATACTTTTTTCACAATTCTATGCCACTTTATTATAAATAGTGTGATTATTGTGTTCACACTGAAAACTCCAAAAAGTAAAAGTGCTCTTCAAATGCCTAGATGTTGCATGTGCAGGAAAAAAAAAAAAAACAGTGGAAAGAGTGTGGAATGTTGGACACTTCATTTGCTTTAAACGTACTGGAGGGCTAGACAGTAGAGTACATAGTGCATAGAATAAGTACATAGTATATAGTAAGTCATTTGGGTCACAACTTTTGTTGTTTTGTTGTTTTCTGTTTCCTACAAAAAAAAACTCTTTTTATTAGAATCTGTGTGGACTGTGTGACAAAGATTGATTTACATTATTAATGACTGGCAACAAGCATTTCACTTTCGTTATATTAACACACATGGTTTCACTTAATTTTGATGGTCCCTTTAACACATTCTGTTGACTATAAGTAATGTTGCACCTACATATCTACTGACTCTCATTTAGACTTGTGCCGGTATTCGGTAATGCGATATATCACGGTAATGAATATGTACGATATTGTTATCGTGGGCACTTCTAAATACCGTGAATAATTATATATTACAAATTATTCAGAAATTTGAATGCATTTTAAGAATACTTTTCCCATAAACTGGTCAAAATGCACAACACCGCTGTATGCTGCGTGAAAAACCCATGCCCACTCTGATGTAAACAAGCACCGGACCAGAAGCACATGGCGGAACATGTGAGAGACGCTCTGGATGAACAGAGGTATTACAAGTTTTAATGTTCAAACAGATTCTGATATTTTTTGTAAGCTTAAGGCCAATTAATTGATTACAATAAAGGACAGTGCCTTATGAATCTATCTAATAGATTCATGTTAACATTTTTATTTATTCTAAACCAATTTAACAGCAGCATCAGAAAGATTTTTACTTTTTTAAGAAGCAGAAAATGTGAGTTGTGCATGTTCGTGCAAAACATAGTGAGGTGTGTGGTTGCCAGGGTGTTACTAGAGTGTTCTGGGTGGTTGCTAGGTGGTTACTTGCTGGTCCAAGTAAAAAGAGTCCATCCACTAAGCCTCTATGATATTCTGGTCTCTAGACATGGCTCTGGTTTCCTGCAATGGCATTAAATGAGAATTATTTTTGCTCATTTAATCGTCTAACATCGTCCATTTAGGTGTTTACCTAAATATAAGCTTTTGTGTGCATATTTATAAGCAATGCTTATAAAAAAGCATTGCTTGTATATGCACAGTGTTTACTGCTTAGTAAACACTAATAAACACTAATTACAGCATATCCAACATCCACAGCAACAATGTAGCAACATCTTTATATGAAAAATTATTAAGTCCTTCAGGAAGAGCTCTTGGCTTCAAAAGCCATAAAGAGGATAATGATTTTAAAAGACAGATATGATTACACCTTATTTCCTGCTGTATATGAGGACTGTCATGTTTATTGCCAGACAATCTGCACTGGAGCCTGCTGCCAAGAACAATGTCCACTATCATAAAAAACAGCATCAGTCAGCTATTACTGCTGGATGTATTTGTGGTGGTACAAATTATTCTGTCTATATTGTAGAGAGAAAATGTAGATGCATTAAACAGTTTGAGTGAGTGCCACCAAGTGATAGTTTTCAGCAGATCACATGACAAAAAGCATGAATCTTGCTTGGTCAGCATTGTGATGGAAAAAAGGTTAAATGTTTGTGATGGTCTGAACACATGCATTGACAGCAGATGATTTAAAATTTAATTGAATTAAACAAATTAAATTGTTTTAAAGAAAGAAATGTTTTGAAGAAACTTTAACATCCATAGAATCTTTCCAGTGTTGTGGATGTTAAAGTTTCTTCATGGAATAATAGATGCCAATAAGGAACTTTTATTTCTAGGAGTGGACTCATTAAACAAAGCAAAACTCTCAGGAAAAATGTGAAAAAAATGTTTTGTACCTTCAGAGGTATAACAGCTTGTCAATAGGGCAGTACCATTAAAGGGACATACAGTGCATCCGGAAATTATTCACAGCGCTTCACTTTTTCCACATTTTGTTATGTTACAGCCTTATTCCAAAATGGATTAAATTCATTATTTTCCTCAAAATTCTACAAACAATACCCCGTAATGACAACGTGAAAGAAGTTTTTGAAATCTTTGCAAATTTATAAAAAAATAAAAAAATAAAATCACATGTACATAAGTATTCACAGCCTTTGCTCAGTACTTTGTTGAAGCACCCTTGGGACCAATTACAGCCTCAAGTCTTGGAGTATGATGCTACAAGCTTGGCACACCTATTTTTGGGCAGTTCCACCCATTCTTCTTTGCAGAACCTCTCAAGCTCCATCAGGTTTAATGGGCAGCATCAGTGCACAGCCCTTTTCAGATCTCTCCAGAGATGTTCAATCGGGTTCAAGTCTGGGCTCTGGCTTGGGCCACTCAAGGACATTCACAGAGTTGTCCCACTGCTTTGTTGTCTTGGCTGTCTGCTTAGGGTTGTTGTCCTGTTGGAAGATGAACCTTCGCCCCAGTCCAGAGAGCTCTGGAGCAGGTTTTCATCAAGGATGTCTCTGTACATTGCTGCATTCATCTTTCCCTCGATCCTGACTAGTCTCCCAGATCCTGCCGCTGAAAAACATCCCCACAGCATGATGCTGCCACCACCACCATGCTTCACTGTAGGGATGGTATTTGGCAGGTGATGAGCGGTGCCTGGTTTCCTCCAGACATGACGCTTGACATTCAGGCCAAAGAGTTCAATCTTTGTTTCATCAGACCAGAGAATTTTGTTTCTCATGGTCGGAGATTCCTTCAGGTGCCTTTTGGCAAACTCCAGGTGGGCTGTCATGTGCCTTTTACTGAGGAGTGGCTTCCGTCTGGCCACTCTACCATACAGGCCTGATTGGTGGAGTTCTGCAGAGATGGTTGTTCTTCTGGAAGGTTCTCCTCTCTCCACCGAGAAATGCTGGAGCTCTGTCAGAATGACCATTGAGTTCTTGGTCACCTCCCTAACTAAGGCCCTTCTCCCCTGATCGAGATCTACAGACAATTCCTTGGACTTCATGGCTTGGTTTGTGCTCTGACATGCACTGTTAACTGTGGGAGCTTATATAGACAGGTGTGTGCCTTTCCAAATCATGTCCAATCAACTGCATGTAACACAGG